AGAAATAAACTGAACTGAAAATTCTGTCCTATTCCTGTGCTTATTACTGAGCTTCCATTATGAGTAGTATGATTTTCTAAAATACTAAATTGAATTTTTTTAAAGCTCTTACTAGGTTAACTTTACAACTACAGTGATATTCTTTGAGTAGTTGAGTATTGCACAGAGATACTAGAGGCATTAACAGCAAGCTGAGAAACATTCTGGAACATAGCAATGGATATTATGTTTCTTTCTCTACTAGGGTCAGCAAAAAATAATTTCTGATGAAGTTTTGTTGATGATGATTGCTTTAGAATGTATCTACGGCTGCAGACGTGATGACCAGCTCTCTCTGTGCTATGACATCTTAGAATGTCTTCCCCCAAGAGGTTTGAGGTGAGTATTGTCATCACTCAAATTTTAGATATTTTGGGATAATTTTTAAAAATAATTTTACCCTCATTAGTACCTGTGAAATACCTACCATTAATTATGTAAAACTCACTACATAAAGAATGATGTGACTTATGTAGTTACTTTATAAAATCAGCATCTAGCAATGCTTTATTTTAACACCATCTCTTTGTCTATAACGCTTCAAATTGGTAGGTGGTGAACTGCTTGTTTTAATTCTCTCTGTAAAGGATCAGATGAGAACTTATTTGTAGAAAGATTAAGAAATAAAATGTTTAAAATTCAGTTTGGATTTGCTGAACTAGTTTTGAATGCATATTGACTGGAATATCCAGTGGTCCCAAGGAATAGTGGGATAGTATTGCTACACCTCTTTGGACAGAGGGCTGTGCAAAAACTTTATTTCAGTGGCAATGCATGTGCTTGTTAGGTCAACAGTGTCAGTTTACTCACCATCACCAGCGAGGATGAGAAAGACCCCACACCGAAGCTAAATAGATTTGCTGTCAGCCACTCCTAAATGGAGTGGATCAGTGGTCTGACTCTGTTTAAGGCAGGAATTTGAACATTCAGAGAACCAGCCTCTGCTGACCCTTATATAGGTAGTGTAATTTGGTGATGGAATGAAGTACTCCCATTGTCATGAAAAATTTTACCTTCTATCAGCAGGGAACTTTGTTTATTTTAGTCCCAGCAAATCTCGATGGTGCTGGATGCTGGGTTTTTAGTTCTATTTCTTAATTGTGACATTTTCTTTTTATTGTGATATATTCAAATTTCCTATATCTTTTCCAGTCCTGAAACAGACATTACCAATAATCTTCACAATAAAATTGATGAATTGGAACAAATTCTTCGGTAAGAAGTTTCTTTCTTAACCCATATCGCTCACTACTTTAACTTTATTGGCTCAGCATTTTATTGGACTGTTCCGAATTCCAGATTTGTTAGGAAAAAGTGTGTGTAGGTCAAGAATTACTGTAATCTTCACTGAAATTACTCTCTGGCCATGGCCTTTCCATAAATAGATGAAAATGTAGCATTGCTACATAGATAGAAATGATGGAGCCATGTGAGGGAGACGAAAGTACTTGGGAGGAAGAACGTCTACAATTGAGTGATTTCTCCATGCTGATCATGGTAAGAACGTTTCCAAGTATTTGGATTCATTAGGAGCTTATGGCAGACCATTTCAGTCATTTTATTACTCCATCTAAAATTCATAGTGGTTGACAGTTTTAATCTGTCGAGAAAGTAATCTGTTCAAGTCAGAGGAGTTACATAAGGCTCATCCTTCTTCATATCAGTATGCCAGGTCTAGTGTATGCTGTGCTGCATGCATGGGACCAAGAATGAGTTTGTACAGACCACTGGGTACCATGGCAAACATTAAATTTGAGCTATTCTTGATTGACCAGCCTTAGCAGAGAAGTTGTTATTGACTTGAAAAAACATTGTCAAGGTTGCCCTTAGCTGGTTAACTAAGAAAGGTAGATGATTAGTCAGCCTGTTCATCAAGAGAATCGCTCCACTATCCTTTCCACACTCTAAATTGGGAGACTGCAAAAAAAAAAATGCCTATGCATTGTCACCATTCATTCTATTTTCTGCCATTCACATATAACCTGTTGTGCCCTATGGGCCAATGGTTGGGTGACAGATCTTCCCTAGTCTTCTCTTTTATATGCCAGGTGTGCATTTTCATTATGCATTAAATCCTGAATAACAGTAACTAATGTAGCATTAAAAAGAGGAATTTTAGGTGTGAAAGGAACTCTCTCTTCCATAACGGCTTCCTTATATAAATTGTAGCCCGTTAGGCCATTAGGTGCTGGTTTAATGAAGAGCTGAGAGCGGCAAAGTGGAAACGATAGTCGCTTGTGTGCAAACAGAGGAAAGTTGGGGCCAATCAGATATAGCATGGTTTAAAGTCAGTTTAGAGTATTACTAGATAGTATGTGCTCAATGCTACTGAAGTTTATTACTGATTATATGTACAGTGGGGGAAAAAAGTATTTAGTCAGCCACCAATTGTGCAAGTTCTCCCACTTAAAAAGATGAGAGAGGCCTGTAATTTTCATCATAGGTATTGTCTTCCATTTTCTAATTATTGCAAATAAATTCTTTAAAAATCAGACAATGTGATTTTCTGGATTTTTTCCCCCATTTTGTCTCTCATAGTTGAGGTATACCTATGTGTCTTCCATTTTCTAATTATTGCAAATAAATTCTTTAAAAATCAGACAATGTGATTTTCTGGATTTTTTCCCCCATTTTGTCTCTCATAGTTGAGGTATACCTATGTGTCTTCCATTTTCTAATTATTGCAAATAAATTCTTTAAAAATCAGACAATGTGATTTTCTGGATTTTTTCCCCCATTTTGTCTCTCATAGTTGAGGTATACCTATGTGTCTTCCATTTTCTAATTATTGCAAATAAATTCTTTAAAAATCAGACAATGTGATTTTCTGGATTTTTTCCCCCATTTTGTCTCTCATAGTTGAGGTATACCTATGTGTCTTCCATTTTCTAATTATTGCAAATAAATTCTTTAAAAATCAGACAATGTGATTTTCTGGATTTTTTCCCCCATTTTGTCTCTCATAGTTGAGGTATACCTATGTGTCTTCCATTTTCTAATTATTGCAAATAAATTCTTTAAAAATCAGACAATGTGATTTTCTGGATTTTTTCCCCCATTTTGTCTCTCATAGTTGAGGTATACCTATGAGAACTTGCACAATTGGTGTCTGACTAAATACTTTTTTGCCCCACTGTATCTGAAAGAAATATTGAAAGGATTGTGTGTTGTCTATAAGGAAGCTATCAGTTCATAGCAAGAAAAGAAGTCCATGTTCTCAGTCAATTGATGCATTATTCTGGCCATTAGGTAGGTCTCAAATTTGGGCAGGGGTCAGATGTCAGCAACATTTTAGGTGCCAGATGAGATCACACAATTGTATACGTTACCAACACCCTAAGAATTAATATATTTATTTAATTGTTGAAATCTTGGCCATTATTAAAAATTAATTAATTTTCAAGTCCCACAGGTGGCATCTAGAGTAACATGCACTATGGTGTTATGATGCCATTCACTGCTTAGAAAATCCTAGTGAAATACAATGCAGCAGCCTTTAACATATGTATGCAAATATATTCAGAGAAAATAAGGTAGTATCTGTGGTTTGCACTAGCACTTGGTCAATATGCTTCGTTTTGTTCATGTTCCGTTTAATTTCTGCCAAGGAAGAAGGGGGTGTTTTAATGTGTCATAACCGCACTAATAAATAAAACATTGAATGTGATTTTCTTTAAAGAGAAACTCCTTTTCTGTTTACTTCTTAATAATATGGGATTGTTTCTGGACTTCTTGGTAATATAATTATCTTGACTGGGATGAACCATGCAGCTGAATGGCTGATATTTATGACAATTATTGCAGTGTATCAGAATTCCTGGAGAAGCATGGACTCCAGAAACCTGTATCCTTTGTAAAAGACACACAGAACAGTCCAGAAGAAGCACAGAAATTGATGATAAGATTGACTCGGCACACAGCCAAAAAGTGAGTATAGTGTAATGTAAGGTAACTGTTCTTGTAATAGTGAATCTGTATGGCTAAGGTTGTTGTCTCCACTTCTAAGTCTGTAAAATAAATATTTTTCAGCATTTGGACTAAGAAATACTTAATGATTAATATATCTGAATTAAGAGAATTGTTATTAAACCTAAGCTTTTAATGCCTAAATGTTGTTCATGGGTCAGTGTCTAAACTGTTGAGTTCCACTCTTACACATAGTTTCATAGAAATAAGGCAAGTTGCAGTCTTCTAGACTGACTTCTGAGAAGTCCTGCTCATGATTATACTATGAATCTTCTTTAACAGCACACACTTGTTAGCAAAGGTATCAGAAGAATCCAGTGGTTTTGTCAAGATGTGCATATGACATCACAATGCACATACAAAAGAGACAGAAATTGTATCATAATGTTGCGGTGCTTATTTTGTCATATGTCCCTCTTTGCCCTCTCCTAAAGGTGCCCATGATGTTCAGACAGAGTACAGTTATAGTACTCAGGACGAGTGGGAGATTTCCCTATTAAGAATTGGTAGTAGTGGGCTGAAGAAATATGTAATTTTTCCCATGTAGGAATTAAATTGAAAAGAGGGAAGTGCAAAAGTACCAGAATACAATCTTTGAAGAGTAAATAATGTGGATACAGTGATCTGCTTCTCTTCTCTCCTTCTCTGATACTGGTTATTTTGCATGGAGCAGTTGACTATGTGGTCAAGAGCAGAATTATAGCTGTCTCTGAATACAGATTATGGATTAGCAGTTTAACTCTGTTTCTTCTCTGAAAGAGAGGTGTGGGTTCAAATTATGCTTTAGTTTAGTTTGGGAATTATGTTCTTAAAGCTTTGAAAAAGCAGAGCTAGAGTACTGGGTAAGGTAGCATGGTGTGACCTATTTGATATTCCTTTGGCCCTGAATTGACTGAGCAAACACTTTCTCAGCCAGAGTTCTCCATCTGCCATATTGTATAGAATTGCTGATATGATACATAGTGAAAAAGCATTTAGCAGGAATGTTGCCTGTGCATACAGGAGTGTGTGTTGATCCTAGAAATATTTTTTGGGTTGCTTTTGATACAAAAAACCCTTTGCTTTTGCAAGTTCATTATAATGTGCTTATAAATGTTGATATTTTTATATCTCTTAAAAGGCAGCCTTCTGTTAATGAAAAGTATTGGATGGGATTATTGCAAGATATGCTGGCTATGCAGAAGAATGTATATACATGTTTAGGATCAGACACGTGCTATGAGGTGATTTTTTTTTTTTCAGTATTCAGAAAAAGATATTTAAAATTTTATGCTTCCTTGTACTAACTTTGTTTACATACTCCTAAATCTGAACAATGGAAGGAGAATCTTAGTCTAGAATTGTCTCAGTGTTTATTTCTGTCCATTTAAATCATACCACTATTAAATTTTCTTAACAATTTTATTGATAAGGAATAATTCATGAAGGTAGAATCTTATGATATATGTAACTTGGATTTTAAAAGGAACATCTTTCATGATTGTCCTCCTTTTAGACAGAAATTGGAGTCAGTTTGCTAATGGAATCTTCTAGGAATGAGCGATTTCAAACTGAATTTTATTTAGTTTATTTTCAGGAAATTGTAACCAAGTAAATGGCTATGGTTACAGTAGTTGTAAAGAGTGGAGCCTATATTGTAAAGATGTTAAAATTCAAATCCAGATAAACCTATTGGGTTTTTCTCTACAATCATATCCAAGATATTCTTTTTCTTGATGCAAACTGAGGAGGAGGAATTTTTTAGGTAGAGGATACTATTCTTATTTGGGAACTCTTCTTAGTAAAACTTGTTTCTCAGATGTCCAAGAAAAGCCATTCAAATATTTTAGCTTACCCAAAGCAACGAAATTCTTTTTTTCTCTGGTTAAGAGGATAAATACAGCTTTACCAAAGATTCTCCAAGACTTTATAGTGTTTTTCCTGATTGCTTTGAAAATCTGAAAAAGAATAGGGAATAGACGATGGCTTTAGACCTGAAAAACACATTTCAGATAGAAACTTTCAAATTAGTTGCTACTGATAGACTGGGCCACCAGTGTTCTGTTGCTCTTTTGGAAGCATATGCCTGTATTCCAATAAAACCTTAATAAATAAATGCCACAGAAAGTCTTATAATTCTGCATTATTACAAATGCTTCCAGTAGAGACCACTCATTTACCCAGGGTACTTGTGGTCTGGTAATGTATCTGAGATACAGAAGTCGTCTTTTAGCCTATCTGGACTAAATAGAGCTGAGGGGCTCTAATGGGAGTCTCTGACTATTTTAGGCCAGTAAGTGCACTTGGAATAGCTGGGGTGTGTTGTCTGTATGCTGCCACAAATGGCTTCCATGGTGAGGGAGAGCAGTCACAAAACATTCATTTCCCAGAAAGCTACTAGTGAGACTTGTCCCTGTCATTCCTTTTAGCTTTCTCAAAATATTATCATTCCAGCCTATTTTCAAAGTAGGTGAGTACCTTTACAAAGCAACTATTTATTCTTATTTTCTAAGAATTCTGGATTATGGGCCTTCAAGGACATCAGAATTATACAAGAGGCTGGTACAGTTCTTTGCAGCATTTCAGCTTCTTAGTAAAAAAAATAAATAAATAAAAAAGACTTAAAAGTATGTAGGGATTATGGTGGACAACAAGGGAGATATTTATGGATAGGTTGGTGCCTGTGGGCACCCTAGGGCTACAACATCTGAAATCCTGGTATAAAAAGAATATTCACAGTAATAATGGTCTGACCAGACAGAAATTTTCCTGTTTCCTTCCCAGATGTCCTGCCTGCTTTCTTGATTTCTGGGATTTGGTTTTGCAATTGGAAATTATAAAAGTCTGTCCTTCTGTTTAGATAGTGTGATGGACTTTTTCTTATTCTTTTTCACTAAGGTAAAAGAACAGTTTTGCATATGGGGGAGAGATTATGCCCTGTGTTACCATGCTTTCCCCTAGAAGCCTTAAAATACAGATCCTGTTGAAGTGAGGCTTAGTAATAAGTAATGCTTACCTTTATGTGGACTAGTATCTGGTTCAAAACCCTTTAAATGTGGTTAAGATCTGTGTTGCCTTAACCACATGATTCAGTGGGGTTATGTGGTGGGTGTAGATACTGGGGTAGAATTCATGCTAGAGAGATGTGTTGTGGGAAGGAGTAGAATGTCCCATTCTTAAACATGGGTCAGGCACGTATTATCTCGCACAGTCTTCTACTTTCTATCCCTCAGCATTTCAGGCAACTTCCCCACACTGTGGTAAAACTTTGAAGCCATATATCTTTTCAATTACTAAAATACACTTGGCTACTTCAGTTTGTTTGAAAAATGTTATTTAAGGAACATATTAGTAGGGGATAACCAGTTCTAAGTTTTAGAAATACTTGTTTTTATAAAGCTCTGCATTTTTTACACTAAGGCTATGTTCTTATAAACCACTGTTGAATTAGCAAAGAGATGAAAAATTGGAATTTCTTAACTTACAGAAAGTCTGTAATGAAATTTCTACTAAACAATAGGAAGATAAATAGCTTTTTGCACCAGTGTTATGTATGTTAAATGGTTTACTGAGCAGAAGGTTCATTTTTAATAATGTCACTCAGAGTGTATATAGAACTTTGATAGATGCTTTCCTGTTTGCATTTAAAGTGAAATGCAAAATACAGTTTGTACAGAAAATTGTGTGCATGTTCAAGAGAAAATTAGAATGCACTGTGAATTATAACAGAACACAGAATTTTTAAAAATATGTGTAGTTTACCAGAATGCTTTCTTCTTTATTATATTGTATAGTACTTGCATTAACTTTTGTATAATTTATATTTTAAAAATTGACAACTTTTACATTTTCATATTATTGTCAGTCTTATTTAGATTATAGGATATATTCTGTGGGGTTGTTAATCTCCATGGCTCTCGAAAAACATTGAAAGCAAATTATAAAACTTACAAGAGTGAAATAGCATTTGGGATTTCAATCCAAAATTAGATTTTGTTTTGGGGGGATGAATACACACACACTAAAACATGTCCAAGAAAACAATGCTATATTTGTATCTCTTATTTCAAGATAATGCCTAGACTTTTTCTAGGGATACCTTATTGAAATGCCTATGAAGTGCATTTGTATTATCATAGTTCATGAAGAATTTCGAGACTTTTTTTTTTCTTCTAAAGTTGCTTCTACGCTTATCCAAAATGCAGAGCAACTTTCCTTGTTGACTAATGGCGTATTTCTACTACATACGGGTTCCTTATTAAAACGTTTGGCAATAGACAACAAATATCCACTATAATTTTTCTTTCACAGAGATTAGGAGTATTGATAGGAGTGTTGCACGTGATCCAGACAATACTTAGAGCACCCTAAATAATGTTGGGCAAACTACCCTAAACAATGCCTAGCCTTAATATATTTGACAGTTCCTATAATAGGCGAAGGAATAACCTTGAGGAACAGGAGGAAGAGCCACAACCAAGACAACAGTCAAATAAAAGAAATCTGAGTCCAGGGCAGAAATGTAATTTGAGAAAGCCTCTCAGACATGACCCACCCTAGTTCTCATGAAGTTAAAGGGAGGGAGGGGGGAAGCACATTCAGACTTGCAAGATTGTGTTACTATAACCC